TTCACCACCTGGAATCCCCTCCCTGCTTTGCACGGCTCATTCTATCCCAAATGTCAGATCTCAGCTTCAAGTCTGCTCCAGAGAGAGGCCTTCCTTGACCTTCCTTCCTAAAATAGGGCTCTCGAAACCTAGTTTGTTTTTTGTTTTGTTTTGTTTTTTTGAGATTTTATTTGAAGTCATCTCTACACCCAATCTGGGGCCTGAAACTCATCCCCCAGATCAAGAGTCACAGACTCCACGGACTGAGCCAGCCAGGCACCCAAACCTAGTTCTTTTCTTTCATAGGATTTATCACCATGTGTAAGTAGGTATTTATCTATTTAATTCCTGTCTCTATCTCTAGACTATAAACTCCCTGAGGAGAGGGCGTTTTGTCTTGTTCTGTGCTAGAAGAATGCTTGGTGTTTAGTAGTATTTATTATTCAATGAATACTTGTTAGAAAGAAATGAATGAGTACATGAATAAAGAAAGTATGGGTGACTCCTAGGGAAGCAACTCTTTACCTACTCATGCCCAAAACTGAATAAACCACAGGTTCCTTCTGCCCCAGTGTGTGCAGCCAGTTCTGTTCTAATTAACAGCAAATTCTTTTTTTTTTTTAAGATTTTATTTTATTTATTTGAAAGAGAGAGCACATGAGAGGGGGGGAGGGTCAGAGGGAGAAGCAGATTCCCTGCTGAGCAGGGAGCCCGATGTGGGACTCGATCCAGGGACTCGATCCAAGGACTCGATCCAGGGACTCCAGGATCATGACCTGAGCCAAAGGCAGTCGCTTAACCAACTGAGCCACTCAGGCTCCCCTAATTAACAGCAAATTCTTAATCCATCTGTTCATTAATAGCATATGATCAGCATGTATTTTCTCAGTCCGTGGGTATTAGTAGTACTCACCTTCACAGTACGGTGGGCTATCGTTATTACCTTTTTTTTTTAAAGATTTTATTTTATTTATTTGAGAGAGAGAGAGACCATAAGAGGGGGTAGGGTCAGAGGAAGAAGCAGACTCCCCTCCCAGTAGGGAGCCCGATGCGGGACTCGATCCCCGGACTCCGGGACCATGACCCGAGCCCAAGGCAGTCGCTTAACCAACCAATGCCACCCAGGCGCCCCTCGTTATTACATTTTTTGATATTAAAAAAGGCGTTGGGGAGCGCCGCTTGATGCCCGCGATACCTCCCCGCGGAGAAAGTTGGTTGCAGTTAAGGTTTGACTGCGTATCCAGCAGAGGGCGCTGCGGAGCCATAGCTGCCGCGGGCGCAGGCGCAACCCGCAGGGAGGGGCGCAGGGAGAGTAGAATGAGGTTCTGAATGACAGCAGTGAGAAGTATTAGCCCGTTCCCGGGACAATTTCCAACTGCTAGGTGGCTTCATAGCCCAGTATAAGGCAGTGGTTTCCTAGTCTGGCTGTATCACTGGAACATGGAGAGCTTTTGAAAAATACCGATTTCTTGGCAGCACCCCTGAAGATTCTGGTTTAGTACGACCCCCTTGAAGGTGTTCCCGCTGATTTTGATGATCAAGAGGTTTGGGATCCGTTGGTGGGAACACCCACCAGCTCGGGGAGCCGAAAGAGTGAGAAGACAAACCTGGTTCTCACTCCCAGGCTTGTTGCTTTTTAGCTGTGTGACCTTTGGGAGCATCCCCCTCCCCTTGTAGGATGGAACTATAATGCCTACCTTGTAAGGTTGTTTTAAAGATGGAACGACATCCAGGTATAAAGCGGCTAATAATAAGTGCTCAAAGCAAAGTAGTCTCTAACCTGAATCAAAGGTGGAGGAGGTGTTCTGAGACCTTTCCTGGGTCTCCTCCTCTCTCTCCCTAGAAAGGAGACTGTCCAATCCAACCATTTTAGAATTGACTACAGTATTTAGTTCTAGAATCTCTGCCTCTGCCTGTCTTTAGTTCCTTCACTTTTCTTCCACTAGGCACTAAAGAGCAGTATAAGGAGATGAGGGAGGGTTCCAGTTAGAAGGGATCGTAGGCAGCATCTGGTCAATCCCCTTTATTTCTCAGATGGGGAAACAGGTTCAGAGAGGTCGAGGCTTACCCAAGGTCACACAGCTGATTAGCACAAAGCCATGGACCTGTGCTCTCTCCAGCACTCAGTGCCGCCTCTGGAAGGTTAGTGGTGAATCTATTTGGGTCTTGCCCTTGTCCTCCAGAAAAAAAGAAGGGTGCTTTTCTTGAAAACTCAGTGCTTCCTGTACTCCCATTTCGGGGTCATTATTACTGTCTTATCCAACAAAACAGACTTGCTGCAAAAGAGGAAAAATAGTAACCCTGCTACCACTAAACCGTGAAGCCGGTGGGCATTCTCCAAGTGCTTTGGCACATTGTCGTATGTAATCCTTAACCTATCCTATTTCATTCATCAAATATCTGTCAAGACTTCAAAGGATTCCGGGCACCATGGATGCTGCCATGGGCAAACAGGCCCCTGCTCCCATGTAGCCTGCGTTCTGCTGAGAATGGCAGACTGATAATCAACACAAGTCAGTAAGATAATTTCAGATAGCATCCAGGGCTTTGAGAAAAACAGGATGCAATGATAGTAAGTGACTGGCCCACAAGGGACCTGAGGCCTGGGGTCCAGAAAGGCCTCTCCCAGGAGGTGACATTTTTTTAAATCATTGTTATTATTATTAACATATAATGTATTATTTGTTTCAGGGGTACAGGTCTGTGGTTCATCAGTCTTACACAGTTCACAGTGCTCAGCATAGCACATACCCTCCCCAATGTCCATCACCCAGCTCCCCATCACTCCCACCCCCACCACTCCAGGCACCCTCAGTTTGTTTCCTAAGATTGAGTCTCTTATGGTTTGTCTCCCTCTCTGGTTTCATCTTGTTTCATTTTTTCCTCTCTTTCCCGATGATCCTCTGCCTTGTTTCTCAAATTCCACGTATCAGTGAGATCATATGATAAATGTCTTTCTCTGACTGACTTATTTTACTTAGCATAATACCCTCTAGTTCTAGCCACATCGTTGCAAATGGCAAGATTTCATTTTTGATGGCTGCATAATATTCCATTGTGTGTCTGTGTAGATATAGATATAGATATAGATATAGATATAGATATAGATATCACATCTTCTTTATCCAGTCATCTAGGCTCTTTCCATAGTTTGGCTATTGTGGACATTGCTGCTATAAACACTGGGGTGCACGTGCCCCTTCGGATCCCTACATTTGCATCTTTGGGGTAAATACCCCATAGTGTAATTGCTGGATCGTACGGTAGCTCTATTGTCAACTTTTTGAGGAATCTCCATACTGTTTTCCAGAGTGGCTGCACCAGCTTGCATTCCCACCAACAGTGTAGGAGGGTTCCCCTGTCTCTAGGAGATGACATTTGAGCAGCGACCTGGACGGTGAGAAAGAGCCAACCACAGAGCAAGATGTGGAAAGCTGCTGAGAGTGGACTCAGTGTGTTCAAAGACCTGCGAGGAGGCAGGTGAGCGGGAACAAAAGTGGGCAACAGCTGGAAGGATGCACCCGGAGGAGGTGGAGAAGGCGGCTCCAGGCTCGGCCAGCCTGTCAGTCCAGCTCCTATCCTGAGACTTACCTTACAGCCGCCAGCCGCTTTTCCCTTCTCTTGGGCGAAATGTCACAGAGGCAGGGAGGACTTTGGGGGAGACTTTTGGAAAACAGTTGCACGACTTTAAGAGGTGGGTATATTTCACTTACTGCCTGCAGAAGGCACTGAGCTGGGGGAGATGGAAGGGTGGCTTCACTCCCATTTCCTTCCAGACCATGCCTCTAGTTTTCCTGCTTTTCTGTATACCTGTGGCTTACCTTCCCCCCAGCCCACCTTGGCCTTTGCTGGGTGTTCTGTGGCCCCACCACCTCTCCTAGCTCAGCACTGGGCTTGCAGTGGGGCTCTCGTATCATCCCTAATTCTCAGGTCCTTACTCTGATCAAAATTAAGGCCAGCCTCCTTTTATGGGAACGGCTGTCATAGTGTAAGCAGAGTCCCTTTCTCCTCCCATCCAGTTCCCTGGCCGTGGTCCCTGGGCTCCTGCTTCCTAAGGCTTCCCGAGGGGCTGCTGGAGGGGCGGGGGGCACAGCTAGTAACACTAGTCAGTTAGGATTGTATGTCGTCTGGAGTTTACGAATAAAGGACCTCAGTTTTGTGTTGTCAAAAAAAAGAAAAGCTGGCCCCCCTCTCTTTGGGACCTAGATGAGGGGTCATTTCCCTCGCTTGCTCCTTAGACACCGCCTGCGGAAGAATGTGATCAGATCTACACCATTTGTCCACACATTTACACAAGCCCAGGGTTTAGAAGTCAGACTTGGAACTTTGGGCAATCACAGTAGAATAATCATGTCAGACAGTCTGTAATCACGTCCCGTGTGTTACCTCATTTGGTCTTCAGCCTCTGGGGCTGGGGGGGCGGTTACCATGGTCTCCTGGTAGGTAGCTGCCTTAGAGAAGGCATGTCAGCTGTCAAGGCCACCCAGCTGGGGCCTGGAGGAACTGGGCCTCACCCAGGCCTTTTCACTCGGTGTTTATTCCTCTAGAATCATAATCCTTTTGCTTTAGAAAGGATGAATTCAGGACGGGGCTGTTTTAAAAAACTGTTTCATTCATTTTTAAAATCATGTTTACATGAGAATAACAGAAGGAATCTTTTTCTGAATGACCACTGCTGGGGTTGGGACTGTTCAGGTAGAGAAGTTCTGTTTTCGCACTGACTGGATGAACTTCCCGGGAGGTCAGAAGGGCGCCGGGGGGGCGAACATGGGCTATCAAGCAACTTCCTCTAAACATCCTGAACAGGGTCCACTTCTGGGAATAGCCAGGGACTGTCCCTCCCATAGGCAACAACTACAAACCCTGGGAGCCAGGAAAACTATCTGGAGGTGCCATGTGTGGTCAAAAGCAGGAAGATTCTGTAGGAGTCAATACTCCGAAGGAGGGGTTGGTACTGGGGGGAGTGTCCTGTTTTAGGGCTCCTAGCTTGAGGACAGAAGAAGAGGAGAGAAAACGGGACAGAAAAAAATATTTGAAATTATGGTTGAAAATTTCCCACATTTGGTGAAAGCCATTTATAGATACGAGAAGATCAGTAAACAGAATAAATACAAAGTAAACTATGCCTGGGCACATGAGAGTCAAGCTGTGAAGAACCAAACACAAAAAAATCTGAAAGCAGCTACAGCAAAATGTCACTTTACATACAGGAAAACACTAATTCCAAAGTTCTTCAGGCTGAAGGAAGATGATGCCAGACAGGAGCTTGGATCCTCAGGAAGGCACGAAGAGCATGCAGCATGGTGAGTGCGTGGGTGAGGAAAAGCATCCTCCACGGTCCGCTGCATGGGCAGGAAGCTCACCCGAAGGGTAGAGGCTTGGGGGCGCTGGTACAGACCAGATCCTGGTTGCATGTCAGCTGGAAGAAGCCATTTCGGGTGTGATGTAGCTATGTTGTTCATATATTGATCCCTGGACCCTGAACCCCCAGCCCACTTCCTGGAAACTTGTGCCAAGGCCTGGGGTGGAACTTGGACAAGGAGGTGAAAGATGACTGCCTTATTCATCCCCAAATGAGAACAACAAAAGCTGCTTCACTATTGACTGAAAAGCACAGGCTGTCTGTTTGGGCCCCTTAAAAATTTTTAAAGAGGGCACTACTCTCATGACCTAGTTGCCTCCCAAAGGTCTCAGCCCCAAATACCATCGCACTGGGGATCAGAGCTTCAACATAGGGATTGTGGCGGGACACAAACATCCACAGCAGGACATCTTCCAGGCACATACTACGTTTTATGGTTTGCTCTTACATTGGCTGTATTTGTTCTCTTAATGCACATTTGTCACTGTGGGAGTCTATATATGACAATCAGTATGGATGATTAATTGTTCAGTTATTTTGTTTTTATCAGCCATTGTTACAAATCCGGTTTCACAAAAATACCAAACAAAAATAGAAGTGATGCTTTTAACTTGTGGCAGCTGAGGAACCCAACCCTTGTGCCTAAAGCTCTCCTTCTGCTTCTCTGGCCTTGGGGGCCCCTTGCCCAGGGGGCTCACACTGGGCCCAGATTGCCCCCCTCCCACCAGAGAGGTCAGGAATCGATCTGAAAGGAAGGCTGCAGGCCAGAGAGACTGTCACAGAGAAGCGTGACCCAAAGACAGCTCTGGCACCTGCCGACTCAGGGAGATTGGGCCGACCAAGACACATGTGCCCAGGAGGGAGGAGATGGGTGTGATGCTCATTGTATGGGACCTCCCTTTCCCTCTGTCAGAGCTAAACTCAAGTTGTGTCTTCTCATGTTCAGAGACTCACAGTTGAATATTGGCATATCTCTGAAATGGTCATGGCAAATATATTTGATAGAATGTTCCTCTTGATTCACTCAATGTGCAATGTGAGGTAAATTTAAAAGTGGTAAATGAGGCTCAGAAATTCAGTTCTAATTTCTTTTTTCCCCCTTCAATGTGAACATACAAAAGCTACCTTATTCAGTCATGGCTTTCTAATAATGTAAAAACCCAACTCAATTTCAGCCCTTAAATTGTAGGATCCAAAGTGAATTCTATGTGGTTTTCTGTAGCCAGACATGTGTGCAACACTTAATTCTGGTTATTGGTTTCTGAAAGTAGTAATTTAAGATCAAGGATATAATTTCCCATCCAGAGACCAAAAGGCCAGAGAGGAGCCTCGCCTACTATTATTAGATCAGAGGCAGTCAGATGGGAAGGAGTCTAGAAGATCAAGGTAGTGTTAGTCATATATGAATGCATTAGTCAGGAATCTCCAGAGAAGCAGAACCAATAGAATATATACATAGATATATATAAGAGGAGATTGATTATAGGAATTGGCTCATGTGATTATGGACGGTGAGGAGTTCTATAGTCTGTCTTCTGTAAGCTGGAGAACCAGAAAAGCCAGTGTAATTCAGTCCCCATCTGAAGGCCAGAGAACCAGGAACACCAGTGTCTGAGAGCAGGAGAAGGTGGATGTCTGAGCTCAAGCAAGAGGGCAAATTCACCCTCCCTCTGCCTTTTTGTTCTATTCAGGCCCTCAGTGGATTAGATGAAGCCCATCCGCGTTGGGGAGGGCGAACTTCTTTACTGAGCAAACTGATTCAAGCACTAATCTCTTCCAGAGCACCTTCTACGGACACCCAGAAAGAATGTTCTACCAGCTATCTGGGCATCCCTTAGCTCAGTCAGATTGACATACAAAATTAACCATCACACTGGACTTTTCTGGTGGACCAGACCTTCTGAACCTACCCTGGCTGCTGGAAGCACCTTCTGAAGAGACCCCTTCTACACCTCTCCCCCCCCCCAGTCAAGGGCCTGAGGGGACAAGTGTGCCCTGCACTGCCCTCAGGCCACAAGACCTACCGTTTCTGAGTTGCCGTTTGGTTCATGAAGATCCAGCTGGGAGAAACGGAGCAGTCTCTTTCACCTTTTAGTAGACCAATTTTATGGAGGCTTAACATGGGCGGCGTGGTGTGGGATGGGGAGGATGCACACCTGAGCAGACGTGGCCCCACCTGCAGGAGCCCCCCAGGTCCTGGCCAGCTGGGCAGGGGTGTGGCACATGCACGTACCCACAGCACACGCCATCAGAAAGCAGTGAGACGTGTGATAATGAAGGTAGGGTGGACGCTTTTCTGAGCCATATGGTGACCAGTGACCGACGATGGACCCTACACATGTCCTGCTGTTGAACCTGTGAAGTGTGATCAAGGAAGTCTCAGCAAAGTAAAATAATTTAAAACCAGAGGGCATGGGATGGTATTAGGCTAGGAGATAAAAGTGCCTCCCTGCTCTTCTCCGAGCTTATCTATCTGATCTCATCTCCAGACTTAGTCCCTTCGAGCTGCGTAGAAGAGCACAGACCGGGAGGCTTATAAACCACAGAAACTTAACTGCTTACAGTTCTGGAGGCTGAGACGTCTGAGACAAGGCCCCGGCAGATCCAGTACCGCGGAGAGCCCACATCCTGGTTCATAGATGTCTTCTCACTGTCTTTTTTTTTTTTTTTTTTAAGATTTTATTTATTTATTTGACAGAGAGACAGAGAGAGAGGGAACACAAGCAGGGGGAGCGGGAGAGGGAGAAGCAGGCTTCCCGCTGAGCAGGGAGCCCGATGTGGGGCTTGAACCCAGGACCCTGGGATCATGACCTGAGCCGAAGGCAGGCACTCAACGACTGAGCCACCCAGGCGTCCCTTCTCACTGTGTCTTAACATAGCGTAAGGGGTGAGGGAACTTTCTGGTGTTCTTTTCTTTTCTTTCTTTCTTTTTTTTTTTTTTCCATTAAATTTTTTTAAATTTGAGTATGCTTGACACGCAATGTTGCATTAGTCTGGGGTTTCTTTTCTTTTTCTTGTCCCATTCATAGAGCCTCCCAAAGGCCCTATCTCCTAATACCATCACACTGGGGATGAGATTTTAATATGTGAATTTAGGGAACACAAACATTCAAACATCTGTCATTGCTCCATTTCCAGCCACCTGGGAGCCCAAGCTGTTCTGCAAACAAGCCAGTCGCACTAGCCTCAGGACCACTGCCTTTCTTGCTGCCTGTGTCTCAAATTTTTACATGGATTGTGCCTCTGTGTTTATGCCAGATGTGTGCAAGCTTGTGGTCTCATTTCATTAAGTCTCCTCTCAGACATGGCCACCCCATCTGACATGGCGCCTGACATTCTCTTTCTCTTTGCCCTGCTTCATTTTTCTTTAAAAGATGTCTCACCTGACATTGTGTACTTGTATGTGTGTTTATTATCTGCCCCCTCTAAGCACAGTGGAAGGTCTAAGAGGGTGGGGACTCTGATTTGCTCCTTGCTGCAAGCTCTGTGCCCAGTAGAGCATCTGGCATATCAATGAAATTAGTATTTATCAGCAGAATGGACAAACACATCATCTATCTGAAAAAATATACTTTTAAAAATATTTTTTATTATCTTTTATTTTTTTTAAAGATTTTATTCATTTATTTGACAGAGAGAGACACAGCGAGAGAGGGAACACAAGCAGGGGGAGTGGGAGAGGGAGAAGCAGGCTTCCTGAGGAGCAGAGAGCCCGATGTGGGGCTCGATCCCAGGACCCTGGGATCATGACCTGAGCTGAAGGCAGATGCTTAACGACTGAGCCACCCAGGCGCCCCTGAAAAAATATACTTTTTAAAAACACAGCCAAATGAATGTCATAAAACTAGGCTGTCATCACCATTTTTCCCCATTCTAAATATTTAAATTAGTTTAAACCAAGAATAAGGTTTTATGGGAATAAAGCATTAAGGAAAGGAGACCCGAACAATCGGGTGATCTACTCACCTGCATCCATTTCTTGTCTTGATGCCTAGTCAATTTCCTGTAAGTCATAGAAACAGGCCATGAAGGAGATTAAGTTGATGTATTAGCTCCAATTTCTCATTAGAAACCATGGGAAGTTATTGCTTCAGAACCAGTTGGGTCTAGCCAGCACAAAGGGAAGTAGAGGTTGAACACCTATCCAGATAAAATTAGGGGGCATCTGACATCCAAACTGGCCAAATTATTTAGGTAATTGCCAAGTGTCTGTTTATGTTGTGACAACCAAATGCAATTAAACTCTCAAAGGCGTCCTTTATTTAAGCAGTGAGAAAATGGGATAGAATATCTGTCCAAATTAATGATGAGTATGTTATAAACCTGGCCTTTCATTTAAAAATGAAGTAAGGGCCTGAAGCTCTGGTAGAAACTAACTCCTGAGGACTCTGCGAGGTAACTGCTTTGTTACACTCGGGGGTGAATAAATGGGGGCAGAGGGACTCTATGTCGTGTGCTAGGTTGATATACAGGTCCGAATTCCCAGAACTTCTGTTGACTTATATGGCAAAAGAGACTTTGCAGGTGTGATTAAAGGTCGTGAGATGGACAGTTATCCTGGATTATCTGGATGAGCCCTCAATGTAATCCACAGGGTCCTCGTAAGAGGGAGGCCAAGGGTGATTTGAAGGTGATGTGACCATAGCAGCAGAGATGAGAGTGAAGGGCTTCGAAGAGGGAGGAGGGGCCATAGGCCAAAGAACAGAGGCCACCACTAGAAGCTGAAAAAGGCAGGGAAGCAGTCAGCTCTCAGAGCCTCCAAAAGGAACCAGCCTTGCAAACAACTCGATTTCAGCTCAGTGAAACTGATTTCAGGCTTGCGACCGAGAGAACATTCAGAGAGAGCATTGCTCTAAGCCAGTAAGCTGGTGATGACTTGTTATGGCAGCAACAAGAAATGACTACCTGTGCTTACTAGGAATTCTTAGCTTCTTGCCCAGAGCATCTGAATTAGGAACGAGCTTCCTAGCTCTGACATGTGCATCTTGGCTGCTGCCTAAGCCTTATCTTCTAGCAAACAGAACCTGAGACAAACGTTAGGATGCTCACTCTTTCTTCAGGTGTGTAAGCCTGGGGCAAGGAGGGTGAACAAAAAGGGACACAAAGCAAGGAAAGATGCATAGATTTACTCTGAGATAGGTTGTTGCCGTGAGCTGTGAAGACACTTCTCAATGGCACATCTACTCATGTAGAGAGTTGCAAAGAGGGGCCTTACCTCAGAGTAGTCCACAGAGAGAGAAAGGAGGGAGGATGTACCTGTCTGGCTCCCTCCCATTTCTCATTTCCAATTGGTCGAGGTTCATTAAGGGTCAGGGGTTAATGCCCTAAACTTCTAGTTTGTTCCATCCAGTTCCTCAGAGGCGGCTTAGGAAATCATACCCCAAAGACTCGGGTTGTGGTGTTTCATTTACAACCAACAACGAAGTTCAGGTTCACACAGTGGTTGGGTAAGGATCCAAGAGAGTGAACACAAGCTGGAGGTCTCTTGAGGTTCAGGCTCAGAAACCACACAGTGTACTTCCAGAGCATTCTAATGATCAAAGCAAGTCACGGGCCAGTTCAGCTTCAGTGGTTGTGGAAATAGATGCCATCTCTTGATAAGAGACGCTGCAAGGGTATCTTGCAGGGGAAATGGATGTTGAGAGGGGAATGATTGGGGCAGTTTGTGCAAATAATCTACCACAGGTCGTTAGCACAACAAAGCAGAAGGGGCACTGAGCACCAGGACGGGGAGGCATAGGTACTGGACAATGGCAAACCTGTTCTCCTTTACCAGAGCCAAAGCTCAGCATGCCTTGGCGTGGAACAGAGGGGCTGAAGCTAAGAGCTGGATCAAGAAGGTCTTTGGGTGCCATACCGAGGCATTTGGATTTTGTTCTGAAGGCAGCAGGGAACCACAAGGAAAGGGAGATGGGCAGGCTTTCTGTTTTGAAAGCCCTACTGACTGGGATACGGAGGATAGAGGAGGTCATCCAGGCAGGCCTTCGGAAGGTGATCAGGGCATGAAGACGGAGGCCTCGTGAATGAGATGAGTGCCCTTATAAAAGGGACCCCACAGAGCTATCTTGCCCTCTTTCTGCCATGTGAGGACTCAGCCAGAATATGGCTTTACCAGCACCCTGATCTTGATCTTTTAGCCTTCAGATCCGGGAGAAATGAATTTCTGTTGCAAGCCACCCAGTCTGTGGTGTTTTGTGAAAGCAGCCCACGCTGACCAAGATACTTGCCCAGGTTAGTTCTGAAGCAGCTAGCAAAGGTCACACATAAAATACAGGAGGTAAATGCTGTCAGTCAAAGCTGTCCTGTAAAATCCTCCTCCCAGTAATATTTTTACTTGGTGTAGTGTTTGTATTCTTGGTCTCCAGCCTTTAAACATGTATGCTCTGGGACACCTGGGTGGCTCAGTTGGTTAAACGTCTGCCTTCGGCTCAGGTCATGATCTCGGGGTCCTGGGATCGAGCCCCGAGTTGGGCTCCCTGCTCCACGGGAAGCCTGCTTCTCCCTCTGCTTCTGCCTCTCTCTGTCTCTCATGAATAAATAAATAAAATCTTGGGGCGCCTGGGTGGCTCAGATGGTTAAGCGTCTGCCTTCGGCTCAGGTCATGGTCCCAGGGTCCTGGGATTGAGTCCCGCATCGGGCTCCCTGCTCAGCGGGGAGCCTGCTTCTCCCTCTGCTTCTCTCTCTCTCTGTCTCTCATGAATAAATAAATAAAAATCTTTAAAAAATAAATAAATAAATAAAATCTTAAAAAAAATAGAATAGCTTGATTAGATGAATCCCACTGTAGCTTTTGCATTTTATTGCCTTTGTCAGCTCTTACAATGTCCTATGTCAAGGTCACTTCCCAATAGAGCCTCATGATTCAGTTCATAGTACAAAGTAGTTATTTGGCCTCAGGACTTTTTCAGCTTGGAAGAATTATTCTCAGCATGTTTTCTTCAGTCATGTGGAATGTTTTCCCAGGGACCTTAACTCCATTTAATTGCCCTCCATGAATCTTGCTGTTTTCTCTTGACTGTTCTGGGTTTTTCTGGAGAGGAGAAATTGCACTAGAGGGCAGTGTGTAAAGTCAGAGGATTAACAGGTGCAGAGTAAGGATGAGCCCGGAGCGAGTTGAGGGGAAGGAAGCCCTTTGTCGAAATTCTAGATTCTCAGTCAAATGACTACTGAGCAGCTGTATGTACACAATGCCGTGCACACTGATGCTAAGGAGAAGCATAAAACACGATATTAACCCTAGATTTGGGAGATAAGCTATAAACTTGTGAAAAGTTGCATAATACAAGAGAAATACCAAGATAGGCTGATTGTTGATGCCATCAGTTAGCGGAGTAATCGCATCAACAGAACCTTTTATGAAGTCAGAGTCATTCATTCATAAGGTGCGTGGTCCTAGCCACTGAGATGTAGCAGTGAACAAGTCACTTAGTCCGGCTTCCTAGAGGACCCAGCTTTCAGTTCTAACCCAAGAGAGGAAAGACGAAATGATGGTGTGAACAGAGACACCAAAATCCAGGAGAGATTTATGGGGCCATGAGTAAATCGTTGGAATAATTTCTTCCAAAGCGATCAGCTGGACCTGGATCCCTTCAATAGCTGTTATGAAAGGAAATTGTTAAGAGGCTTAATTTTGTTAAAGATTTATTTACTTAGGGGCACCTGGGTGGCTCAGTCGTTAAACGTCTGCCTTCGGCTCGGGTCATGATCTCAGGGTCCTGGGATCGAGCCCCACATTGGAATCCCTGCCTGGCGGGAAGCCTGCTTCTCCCTCTCCCACTCCCCCTGCTTGTGTTCCCTCTCTTGCTGTGTCTCCCTCTGTCAAATAAATAAATAAAATCATTTTAAAAAAGATTTATTTATATGAGAGAGAGAGAGAGTGGGGAGATGGGCAGAGGGGGAGGAGAGGGAGAGAATCTCAAGCCGACTCCCCATTGAGTGTGGAGCCCCACTCGAGGCTTGATCCCACAACCCTGAGATCATGACCTGAGTGGAAAAGTGTCAGCCGCTCAACTGACTGAGCCACCCAGGCGCCCCGAGGCTTAATTTTTGGTAGAGCAGCTCTGAGCCCTCCAAAATGAGGTCTGTTACTTTCACTTTCTGGTCGGAAAAGCCCCTGTTGTGCTGGAACCTGGCACGACATAGGGGATAAAGGTCTGGGACAAGCTTGGGGCACAGTTATGGAAAGCCAAGAGGACTGTGGGAACAGATGTGCCTCTGCCTGAACTAGACCCCTCTGCAGCGTTGCAGACCCACAGGCACGGGGACCTAGAGACGTGTCACGTTCTGGAGCAGTGGTGGCCCTGCTGAGCTGGCACTTCCTGTTCTTTTTTTTTTTTTTTTTTTAAGATTTTACTTATTTATTTATTTGTCAGAGAGAGAGAGCACAAGCAGAGGAAGCGGCAAGCAGAAGGAGAAGCAGACTTCCCGCCGAGCAGGGAGCCGGATGCGGGGCTCGATCCCAGGACTCTGGCATCATGACCTGAGCCGAAGGCAGATGCTTAACCGACTGAGCCACCCAGGCGCCCTGGCACTTCCTGTTCTAACCAGGATGCCAGGAGCCCAGCTCTCATTAGGGGTGGGAGACCTCTGTGAATAGACTCGTTTGCACCCACCACCGCACCTGGTATGACTCCATTCCCTGGGGCTCAGGAGGAGCCTTTGAGAAGGGCCAGAGAGAGGGCCCGGCACCATTTGAGTTAAGGGAGCCCATCCTGGAGGAAGAAGGAAACTTAGGGGCTACCCAGGTTCACCTCTTTGCTAAAAGATGGTGGAACGCACAAGATCACCTGACTTATTAGTGACAGAGCCAGCCCAGATGTCTACCACACTTGTTGCCTTTCGTGGAAGTGTGATGTTATTTAACTCCTAAGCTAGTGTGTCCCATGGACAGTTCGAGGTGATCTCAACTTCCATGTGTCGCTGACATGATAATTTGCCTTTTTCTTCCTCTTCAAATCATGCCTCCTTTAGTCCTTCACTTCTTTCACAGAAGAAAAGGTAGTTTCCCCACCTCTAAGTTTGTCTCATTTGTTCCCTTGGCAGGTGACATGTTGGCCACCACCCCCTCTCTGGCTCCCTGGTTCCTGCCTCCCAGCGGGCATCTCCTGAGGTAGGTCCTTAGCCACCTTAGCTCCTCTCCCTGCCCCCAGAGACCTCAGCCAGATCTATGGACTCACCTACTGCTCATATAACTTCAGTGATTCTACATTCATTTCCAGCTCCTATCTATTTCTGGGGCTCTAGACCCATATAGCAAACTGACTCTTGGACACTCCACGTGAAGGCTCTCAGACACTTTAAACCAGCATATCTCAGAATTACCACCTTAATGTCTGGCGGAACCCCTTTCCAACAGTCTCTGTGCTGTGAGTGGCTCCACCAGACATCTTTTGGTATAAGACAGGAACCCAGGGGTCTTCCTCAACCACTTCTCTTCCCCCGCCGTGGCAGATCACTCCGGTTCTCTGGATTCTACCTCCTTCATCTCTCTTGACTCTACTCTCCCCACTCCCTCTATCACCATCTTAATTTAGCTCTTCTACTGAGAACCTACACTCATGCTTCAAGACTTGCTCAGCTCAAGTGTCATCTCCCCCAGGAAGCCTTCCAAAAGGCTCTTCAGACTATTATGTAATTGATGGGTTATCTTTTTTTTTCTCTTCCATCAGACCATAAATCTCTAAAGGCAAAGACATTCCCCCCACCCTTGTGCCCAGCATGGCACTTAATCAGTGACTGTTAATCGCTTGGATGCATAAACATACAAATGAATGAAGTGAGGTAATAATATTTATTTTCCACATGTGGGATTCATGGTCAAACATGGGTGTTTCCATTTGGCCTACCATGCTCCACAGATTTTTATCAGTTTTTTTTCTGGGCATATTTTCTCTTGTTCTGTTTCATTCTCTGCCAAACACAAAAGGAAACAAGACTCAAGACTCAGGATACACACTAGTGGCTGGAAATTCAATCTAGTTTCCTGGACCAGAAAATTAAGTGAAAAAGCATCTTCAAAGGAAGTTTAAAATTTATAAACTGCAGTCAGACAAAATTAGGCATCGGAAATTCCCTTGTCTTGCATAGGAGAGTCACTTCACAACCCTCCCATGGCTAGCTGTGGAAACACTGCCATTAGTCACCTTACCTCCCTCCTGTTCTTGCTGGAGAGTCAGCTGTTATGGTTCATTTTAAGGCAAATTATTGTTAGTGTGTGAGAGCAAGTAATGAAGCGCAAACTTGGAGACCTCCATCATGGTATTCTCACAGAAAATGAAGGACAGGGAATAATTCTCAGCCTAATCTTATAAATTTCCAGATTGTATTCACTGGTTATAATTTACCTAACATTAAAAAAAATTTTTTTTTAAAGATTTTATTTATTTATTTGACAGAGAGAGAGATAGCGAGAGCAGGAACACAAGCAGGGGGAGTGGGAGAGAGAGAAGCAGGCTTCCCGCCGAGCAGGGAGCCCGATGTGGGACTCGATCCCAGGACCCTGGGATCATGACCTGAGCCGAAGGCAGACGCTTAACGACTGAGCCACCCAGGCGCCCTTAAAAATCTTTTTTGTAACTTTGTAGGGTGACAGATGGTAACTAGACTTATTGTGGTGATCATTTCACAATGTATATACATGCAGAATAATTATGCTCTACACCTGAAACTAATATAATGTTGCACTTCAATTAAAAAATATTACCTAACACTTATTAAGCACTCACATCATGTGTGTGTGTGATATATTCGTAACTGGAAAAACCATCCGGCCATCCCATCAAGATTTTTTCCTTTATAGCCTAAATGGAAAGAGGACAGTGAGTACCCCATGCAAACCAATTTGTCAAATTATCTTTAGTTTTAATTTTTCTGTGAACTCTGATTAAAGGAAACGTATCTGGGGAAAGGGTCATCCTGTTTGTTTATGTAGGACTTTTTTTTTCTTAATTTGAAAGAGATACCCGGTCAAAGTGTGGAGGGCATTCTCTTGAATAGATCAATATGCCCCAGTCAAAGTCTAGTTATCCCTTTTTAGGTAAGTAGGTGAAAGGGTGATGGTGGTAATGCGGGTCCTTATAGCTCTGGCTGCAGCATTTTTCCCAGGCTGCTGGAAAATCCAAATTAAGGACAGGGCTCCTGGTCATAAAGAGACTTCTATCAATTCAAAACCCTTCTGTGGTGTCAGTAGAACAAGCCTGGCATTTCTCTCCTCCAAGAGGACTGCATGTTCATGTGACTCAAGCCAAAGTGAAAACTGGCCTTGACCTGAGGTGAAGGACAGTGGTGATAAAAGAAACCTGACAAGACATTGTTATCAGTTTGAACACAAGCACGGGGTTGGAATATGGCCGCTACTTGTTCTTCCTTCTGCCAAGGAATTCGTTAATTAACCCATATTCCTTGCATGTCCGGTTTGGAGCTGGTGTTATGTGAGTTAGCTAAGCATGTACTCCTTAGCTCATGAATTTATTGAGCATTTGGGGAAAATGTTTAATATGTGTATGGCCGTGTATTTCTCCAGGAACCATGCCCTGATCCTTTTATGTAGGGCTGCATGGGTTCTATAATAGCGCTTTCACAGAAGCAGTGATGAAGTACGCTTACCTGTGGGATGTAATTCAGATTTTCTCCCTCTCAGTGCATGACACTCCGTTCAGCAGCAGCTTCTGTGTGAGGGGAGGCGCACTCCAGTATGAGCCCGTCTCTTCCAGGTGCTGCCACAGGGCCCGGGCACTGACCCCTGTGGAGGTTAGGTCCCTGGAGTTTCTCTCCTTAACAAAACCCGAAGTGATTTTTTTAAACTGGCGATTTTGTGAGAAGTAGTTGGAAGGACAGGATTCTTCTGTGGAATGAATACCGCCAGGCTTGCTGCGAAGTTTACTGAGGGAAATGATAGATCTGTAAGCCTTATTTTGTTACCCGTTTTCCATGGTCAGTGGTATCGGTTAGGAAAACTAACAATACTCAGTCAAAGTGGTATTTCTTTCATAGAACAACAAGTCTGGGGGCGCCTGGGTGGCTCAGTCGTTAAGCGTCTGCCTTCGGCTCAGGTCATGATCCCGGGGTCCTGGGATCGAGGCCCGCATGGGGCTCCCCGCTCAGCGGGGAGCCTGCCTCTCCCTCTGCCCCTCCCTCCCCCCCCTTACCAGGTGCACTCTCTCTCTCTCAAATACACAGAATCTTAAAAAAAAAAAAAGTCTAGAGGCAGGAAGCTGCTGGCCTTGCTTGAGCGGCCCGACAATGCCTTACGCACCCTTTCTGTCTTTGCCTTTTGGTCCCGCCCTTCTTAGCAGGCGGGGCTTTTATCAGGCCGCTGGGTTTGTGATGGTGACACGGCTGTCACAGCTCCGGTACCCTGTCTGTACTATAGGTACGAGGATGGGAAGGGGCAGGGCCAGTGGCCACCACTCCTGGACCTGGTCCTTTTACATCGAAGTAAAAGCTTCCCCAGACGCCCCCCCTCCTGCCCCGCAAGAGCTCCCCCTTTGTCTCACTGGCCAGGGCCTGTCACGTGGCCATGCCTCGCTGCGGGGGGACTGAGCAAGAAGTACCTGTATCTGGCTCTCGCAGCGTCCCTGGCGGAGACCGGAAAGCAGAGGAGAAGTGGGACTAAGCCTCCCTACCAGTCACAGAAGAGTAGCTACCAGCCCTCCTTTAGGGAAGCAAGGAGCAGTCAGAATCCATTCGACGGCTTCCTTCTGTGGCACTTCTACGAGAATTAGATTCTTCTCCGTTTCAGGATACAGACACCTGCTCGGGTTCTTCCACTCTTAGCAGGGCTAATTATAAGGCTGCGGGGGAAATGAAGGAGACAGGAGGTTGTGTCAGGCCACGTGGTCCCACCTCTGGGACAGTCTGGACTGTGGTCAGCGCTCCAGCTCTGGGGCCACTGAAGGTGGCTCTTCAGAACAGGGCACTTGTGGATCCCGTGACTCAGAGCTTTTGCTTCTAAACCTACCGCTCCCGCCTTTACTGGCAGACTTTCTCTTTGCGTCTTATAGCAAATGTCCTGAGAGACTCTCTGTTGGACAGCCATCCCTGTCCCCGGGGGGTGCCCCTGTGGGGCGGCGCCAGCTCACAGCCAGCCCCGGCCTCTGGCTGGCCTAGCAATGGCTTCCTTGGCCTGTTAGTGTGAGCAGGGTGATGGGTCATGGACTCCCACTCTTGGTCACACTTGAGCACACCCAGAAAGTGGGGTGAGGGGGGAGTGGGTGAGGTAGGCTCCCTGCGGCAACAGAGGAAGTAATGAAACAGTGTCCAGTCCTGGATCCCTCGTTCTAGGCTATCTGCTGCACTGTGTCAAACTGGCCATGGGGGGGGGGGGGGACGGTGAGCTGTTTTACTCTCTATCAAGAGTTCTCTCTCATTTGCTCAAAGTTAAAGCCCTAAAAGTATTTTGCTTTGACTATCCAGAGTGTCAGAAAACTAGAATAAAAAAACAAAACCCCTACATTTTTCATTGTTCTGGTGGTATGTGTTCTTATGTATTGTTTTTTTGTTTTTGTTTTTGTTTTTTAGAAATTGAGGTAAGATTCACCTAAGACAATAATTTTTCTTTTTTTTTTTTTTAAGATTTTATTTATTTATTTGAGAGAGGCACGTGTGCACGCGCAGACGGCGGGTGGGGGGGGGTGGGGGGGGCAGAGGGGAAAGCGGACTCCCCGCTGAGCAGGGAGCCCGATGTGGGACTCGATCCCAGGACACTGGGATCGTGACCTGAGCCGAAGGCAGACCCTTAATGACTGAGCCACCCAGGCACCCAACTTGAAGTTTTCTTTGGTGCATTCCTACATCGACCATTGTAAAGTAGACTTAGTGCATTTACAATGCTGTGTAACTATCCCCTCTGTCCAGACCCAAGTGATCTATTTTTGAACGAAAGTTGCGAGTGTCGGGATGAGCCGGTCCTCTGTGCTGGAAAGAAAGACTGACCCCAGGAGCTATGTGTTTATGGACCTATGCTTCTTTATAGACTTCACGTAAGAAGATACCCTCCTGACCAATGTTACCAGGCAGCTCTCTCAGTTTTCAGAAACCTGCCTGCCCTCTCTCAAATGTCCCTCAGCTGCAGAAGACACAGTGAGAAGCTGTTTGTTGGCTGAGGATTTATTGTTTAATCATTTTATGGTGGCTTAGATAGCAGTTAAATTCACACAAAAGCAAACAAATGATGACCAAACTGAGTGGGGTGCAAAGCCGTGGGTGGTTTGGTTCTGACATGAAAATAGAGTCTCTCCTCCCATTCACTCACTGGGAGAAGAATTTTGCAAATTAAGGCCTCAGGATGAATTATCAGAGGGCCAGGCCACTATTCAACCTCGACAACAAGTTTTATGGCAAAGCCCTTTCCCCTTCCTTTGCACTACCACAGAATCAGCCCGTTGGATCCTCACAACAGGCCCGTGAAGGAGGCAGGGCAGGTATGGTCATCCTATAAGACCAGAGACTCTGAGAGCATTGCCTGCCTCTTTCCTGACCACCCACCCTCTCTAACTCTACAAGGATAAAGGGGAGAGCCTCACAGGCCCCTCCAATTACAGAATAGCTCGGAAGGAGTGTGCTTGGATGTGACTTCCAACGCCAGTGTTTTTTAAACTGATGTTTTTCAATTTCAGGGGTTATGAACAGTGGAAATAACTAATGAGAGAGAACAGAGCAATAAATATCAGAGTACACTCTGCTCACAGTAAGTATTTTCTCCTGGAATGTTTTCTTCAGTAGTGTGTGTATGTGTGTACTGGGTCATGAAGTAAAATGTGTTTCCTAATGTAGGTTATAGTTTAACAAGTTTGAAAGCTACGGACATAAATGACTATGGTCCCATCAGATCTGCTCAGATTTAGACATGGCCAGCCTCAGGCCTCACCTGCTGCCCTGACCCTTCAAATACCGGGATGATAATGGGTGTGTTCAGAGCCCTTGTGCCAAGTTTATGTGCACTCTATCAGAGGCAAAAATGGAGCATGACAGTCTGCACTGAGGGCAAGTTCCAAGAACTGAGAACATAGCCCTTGGAGGGTTGTATAACTTTTCAACTCTAAGAACAGGGTCGGTCCTGGCTCTGCTGTCCCTGGTTACTTTGTGAATGTACTTGAACATTCTAGGGCATTTCTAGAGCCACAGGCCAGGGTACTGACCTCCCTTACACTCCTAAGAAGCACGCTGCAGAGTGCTCTGGCTAAAATTATCCTGCAGAAGCCACCTGTTTAGTTCCTTTTATACGTGTGCCTCTCAGCATTAGGTGTCACAGATCACTTGGCCCAAATGCTTTCTCATGGAAAAGCCACTATTCCATCTGTTGGAGTTTGTTTTTTTTTAAAAGATTTATTTATTTTAGAGAGAGACAGTGTGGGGAGGGGCAGAGGGAGAGGGAGAGAGGAACCCACGCTGAGTGCAGAGCCTGACGTGGGACTCGATCTCAGGACTCTGAGATCACAACCCTGAGATCAGGACCTGAGCTGAAACCAAGAGTCAGACACTTAACCAACTGAGCCACCCAGGCGCCCGTGCATTTGTTGGAGATTGTACTTTGCCTTTTTTATTTTGCTTCTGATAAACTTAAATCTGATAATTTTCTTGGGCAGTGTCTACATGAAGACAACCCAGAAAATTAGGTAAAATATTTAGTCAAATGAATGACTACAAAAAAAATGCAGATGATTCCAATCAAAACTCAGCTTGATTTTTTTTTTTTTTTTACACATTGAATTGGTTAATTTTCTTAGCGTCCCATAGATATAACTAGTCATCATAGCAAGTAAGTAGCCATTTTGGTTTCTGTTCCTATTGTATTTTAAATTTTCTTTTAAAGTAATCTCTACACCCAACATAGGGCTTAAACCCATGATCCCGAGATCAAGAGTTGCCTGCTCTTCCGACTGAGCCAGCCAGTCATCCCGTGTTCCTATTGTAGTTTGAAATTGTATTACTCAATAAAAGTTCATTGAAAGTACTGAGTAGAAGCCTCGGACAAAATCGCTAAGAGATGTTAAAGGCTTGACTTTTAGACTCTTAACTATCTAGCAATACTGGTTTTACCTAAAGGCAGTGGGCCTTTTGTGTATAAGTGAAAGAGACGTTCAGACCAATGGCGATAGTGATGATGCTAAGGAGAGTGGTGATAGCAATGTTCATTATATGGAGGGTACCATCTTCATTACTTCATTTATTTCCTTTAATTATTACAAAAATGCTCTGAAGACAGCATGACATTGATTTTACTTTTAAGGACACTGAGAATTATCAAGAAGATACATATTACAATAGTAATATGCCAGATCCTCAGGCTGGCTCTCCGTGGAGGGAGAGGAGTTAGCCCGGAGGAGCCCTGCCAGCCATTTCCCCCCGGGGGGGGGGGGGCAGGGGGTTGTACTTTTTTGTTTCCCGTCAGCTCACCGGGGGCAAATAACTGCAGGGGGGTGAAAACTCAGCCCTTATTCCTAAGTGTTTACAGGGAGACCAGGTGAAGTGAAGTTCAGGTTCCCAGGAGCATGCCCCAGAAGACCCAGGTATGGGCCTGCCTGAGATGTGGGGCTGCCAGGGGAGGACAGGGGGCTTGTGTGAGAGAAGATTCGGTGCAGCCCCAGTTAGGATGGCAGGGAGATGGGGCAGCCAGGGAGTCAGGGAGAGTGCATTAGTGTCCTATAGCTGCTAGAACAAAGGACCACGGACTCGGTGGCATGAAGCAACACACATTTATTAACTTGTGGCTCTAGAGGTCAGATGCCTGAGATGGGGCTTGCTGTGCCAAAATAAGGTGTTGGGCAAGGCTGTGCTCCTTTCTGGAGGCTCTAGGAGAGAACCCGTTTCCGTGACTTTCCCAGCTTCTAGAGGCTTCCCGCATTCCTTGGCTCATGGCTCCTTCCATCTTCAAAGCCAACAATGGAGGGTTGAGTTCTTACATTAAATCCCTCTGGCCTGTCTCCACAGTCCTACCTCCTCCTCTGACTTTCTGCCTCCCTTTTCCACTAATAAGGACTCCAGTGATTACATTGGGCCTTCTGGATAATCCAAGATTAACCCCCACCTAAAAGTCAGCTGCTTAGCAACCTTAATCCCACCTGTAATCTAATTCCCTTCTGCCATGTGACCTAACACATTCACAGATTCCAGGGATTAGGACATAGACCTTTTTTTTTGGGGGGGGGGTCCATTGTTCTGCCTACCACAGTGGCCTCTTGGAGAAAGGAGAGATTAGGAGAGACTTCTTGGAGGAGATGACCTCCAAACTGAGGCCTGAAGGAGGAAAGGGAATTAGCAAGGGGAAGAGCTGAGCTTGTACAAGGTCCCAGAGGGGAAAGGGAGCCCCGGCATGTTTGGGGAGCTGCAAAGGTCTCATACAAACACTCCCATGTAAGCCAACCCCTGTGACCAAGAAAAACATATGCCAAAAGCCACAGCCCCACAAAAGAGAATTTCTCAAACCTCCGCACTGTGGCCATTTCGATCATTCTTTGTTGCCGGAGGCCTTTCCTGGGCATCGTAGGAAGTTTGGCAGCATCCCTGGTCCCTACCAGATAGACGCCAGTAGCAGCCATGCAGTTGTAACAAGCAGAAATGACTCCAGACATTGCCAAGTGTCCCCTGAGGTGGCAAAGTCTCGTTGAGAACCAGCGGTGTAAGATACAATGATAAAGAATTGTACTGGCTCGTTCCCAGGATCCCAGCTGGGAATGCTTGCCTCTCCAGGTGTTCTTGTTAGGAGGAGCTATGGCTCCTTACTGCTTCTCTTTGCCAAGGTGGGTGGGGAGGTAACCAGATGTCTCAGATAGAGCCTTCCCCTCTTCCTCCTCCTCCTCCCCCCACCAACCAGTGAAGTCTATCCCTAAAAGTGGTTTGATTCAGGCCTTTAACTCTGCTTGGCACTAAGCAT